CCTCCCTCTCCCTCCTCTCCTTCCCCCTCCCCCTCCTCTTCCTCCCCTCCTCCTCCCTCCCCCCTCCTCCTCCTCCTCCCCCTCCTCTTCCCCTCCCCCTCCTCCTTCCGCTCCTCCCTCCTCCTCCCCTCCTCCTCCCTCCTCCCCCTCCCCCTTCCCTCCCCTTCCCCTCCTCCTCCCCTCCTCTCCCTCCCTCCCTCCTCCCCTGCCTTCCCCTCCCTCCCTTCCCCTCCCTCCTCCCCTCTCCCCTCCCCTTCCCCCTCCTCTCCCCTCCTCCTTCCCCTCCTCCTCCTTCCCTCCTCCCCCCCTTTCCTCCTCCTTCCCCCTCTCCCCCCTTCCCCTCCTCCCCTCCCCCTCCTCCCCTCCTCCCCTCCCCTCCTTTCCCCTCCTCCCCCTCCCCCCTCCCCTTCCCCCTCCTCCTTCCCTTCCCCCTCCCTTCCCCCTCCTTCCTCCCCCTTCCCTTTCCCTCCCCTCCCTTCCCCTCACTCCTCCCCCCTTCCCCTCCTCCTCTCCCCCTTCCCCTCCCCTCCTCCTCCCCCTCCTCCCCCTCCCCTCCCCTCCCTCCTCCTTCCCCTCCTCCCCTCCTCCCTCCTTCCTCCTCCCTCCTCCCTCCTCCTTCCCCTCCCCTCCTTCCCCTCCCCCTGCCCCCTCCTGCCTTCCCTCCCCTCTCCCTCCCCCTCCTCCCTCCCTCCAGCCTCTACCCTCGCCCTCGCCCTCCCTCGCCCTCCTCCTTCTCCCTCCCCCTCCTCCCCCTTCCCCTCCCGCTCCTCCCCCTTCCTCTCCCCCTCTCCCCCTCTCCCTCCCCCTCCTCCTCCTCCTTCCCCTCCCCCCTTCCCCCTCCCTCTCCTCTCCCCTCCCTCCTTCTCCCATCTCCCCCTCCCCTCTTTCTCCCCCCCCCTCCTCCCCTTCCCCTCCCCTCCTCCCTCCCCTCTCCTCCCCCCTCCTCCCTCTCCCCCTCTTCTCCCCTCCTCCCCCTCCCCCTCTTCTCCCCCTCCTCCTCCTCCCCCTCCTCCTCTCCCCCCTTCCTCTCCTCCCCTCTCCCTCTCCTCCCCTCCTCCCCCTCCCTTCTTCTCCTCCCCCTCCCCTCTTTCTCCCCTCCTTCTCCCCCTCCCTCTGCTCCCCTCCCCCTCTTTCTCACTCCTCTTCCTCCCCCTCCCCTCTTTCTCCCCTCCTTCTCCCCTCCCCCTCTTTCTCCCCTCTTTCTCCCCTCCCCCTCCTTCTCCCGCCTCCTTCTCCTCCCCCTCTTCTCTCTTCTCCTCTTTCTCCCCCTCCTTCTCTCCCTCCCCCTCTTTCTCCCCTCCTCTCCTCCTCCCCCTCTTTCTCACCTCCTCCCCTCTTTCTCCCCTCTCTCCCGCTCTTTCTCCCCTCTCCTCCTCTTTCTCTCCCTCCCCCTCTTTCTTCCCCCTCCCCCTCTTTCTCCCCCTCCCCTCGCCCTCCTCCCCTCCTCCCCCTCCCCTTCCCTCTTTCTCCCCTCCTTCTCCCCTCCCCCTCCTCCTTCTCCCCTCTCTTCCTTCTCCCTCCCCTCCTCCCCTCCCCCTCTCTTCTTCCCCCTCCTCTCCCCCCCTCCCGCCTCTTTCTCCCTTCCCTCTCTCCTCCCCTCCCCTCCTCCTCTCCCTCCGCCCCTCCCCTCTTTCTCCCCCTCCTCCTCCTCTCCTCCCCTCCCTCTTCTCCCCTCCTCTCCTCCCTCCCCCTTTTCTCCTCCACTCTCTCTCCCCTCCCTTCTTTCTCCTCCACTCTCCCCTTTCCTCCTCTCCTCCCCCTCTCCCTCTTTTCTCCTCCCCTCCCCCTCCTCCCCTGTCCCCTCTCCCCTCCCTCTCCTCTCTTCTCTCCTCCCCCCTCCTCCCCCTCTCCCTCCCCCTCCCCCCTCTCCTCCCCTCCCCCTCCCTCCCCCTCTTTCTCTCCTCTCCCTCTCCCTCCCCCTCTCCCTCCCCTCCCTCTCCTCCCTCCTCCCCCCCCTCCTCTCCTCCCCCTCTCCTCCTCCCCCTCCCTCTCCCCTCCCCCTCTCCCTCTCCCTCCCTCCTCCCTCCCCTCTCCCTCCCCTCCTCCTCCCCCTCCTCCCTCCCCTCCCCCTCCCTCCCCTCCTCTCCCCTCCCCTCCCTCCCTCCCTCCCCCCTCCTCCCCTCCTCCTCCTCCCCTCTCCCTCCCTCCTCCTCCCTCCTCCCTCTCCTCTCCCTCCTCCCTCTCCTCTCCCCTCCTCCCTCTCTCCCTCCCCTCCTCCCTCCCCCTCCTCCCTCCTCCTTCCCCTCCCTCCCCTCCTCCCTCTCCCCTCCCCTCCTCTCCTCCCCTCCTCCCCTCCTCCCCTCTCCTTCCCCCCTCCTCCCTCTCCCTCCCTCTCTCCCTCCCCTCCCCTCCCTCTCCCTCCATCCCCCTCCTCTCCCTCCCCCCTCTCCTCCCTCCCTTCCCTCCCCTCCCCTCCCCCTCTCCCTCCCTCCCTCCTCCCCCTCCCTCCTCTCCCTCCCCTTCCCTCCTCCTCTCCCTCCACCTCCTTCTCCTCCACCTCTTCTCCCTCCTCTCCCCCTCCCTCCCTCTCTCCTCTCCCTCCACCTCCTCCCTCTCTCCCTCCCCTCCTCCCCCTCTCCTCCCCTCCTCCCCTCTCCCTCCCCTCTCCCCTCTCCCTCCCCTCCTCCCCTCTCCTCCCTCTCTCCTCCCCTCCTCCCTCTCCTTCCCCTCCTCCCCTCTCCCTCCCTCCTCCTCTCCCTCCTCCTCCCCTCCTCCCCCTCCCCTCCCCCTCCCTCTCCCTCCCCCCTCCCTCTCCCTCCCCTCCTCCCTCCCCTCCCCTCCTCCCCTCTCCCCCCCTCCTCCCCCTCCTCCCCCCCCTCTCCTCCCCCCTCTCCCTCCCCCTCCCCTCTCCCTCCCTCCCCCTCTCCTCCCTTCCTCCCCCTCTCCCGCCTCTCCCCCTCCCTCTCCTCCTCCCCTCTCCTCCTCCTCCCTCCCTCCCCCCTCTCCCCCTCCCCCTCCCTCCCTCCCCCCTTCCCTCCTCCTCCTCCCCCTCCCCCTCCCCCCTCTCCTTCCCTCCTCCCCTCTCCCCTCTCCCTTCCCCTCTCCCCCTCTCCCTCCCCTCCATCCTCCCTCTCCTCCTCCTCTCTCCCTCCTCCCCTCTCCCTCTCCCACTCCCCTCCCTCCTCCCTCCCCTCCTCCTCCTCTCCCTCCCCTCCTCTCTCCCCCTCCCCCTCTCCCTCTCCTCCCCCTCCTCCCCTCCTCCTCCCTCTCCTCCTCCTCCCTCCCCTCCTCCTCTCTCCTTCCCCCTCCCCCCTCCCTCCCTCTCCTCCCCCTCCTCCCTCCCCTCTTCCCCTCTCCTCCCCCTCTCCCCTCTCCCTCCCCTCCTCCCCTCTCCTCCCTCCTCCTCCCCCCCCTCCCTCCTCTCCCCTCCTCCCTCCCTCTCCTCCCCCTCTCCCTCCTCCTCCCCCCTCTCCCTCCCTCCCCTCCCTCCCCTCCCTCCTCCCTCCCCCTCTCCCTCCCTCCTCCTCCTCCCCTCCCTCTCCTCCCTTTCCTCTCCCCCTCCCCCTCCCCTCTCCTCCCTCCCCCCTCTCCTCCCCTCCTCCCCCCTCCTCCCCCTCCCCCTCTCCTTCCCCTCCTCCCCCTCTCCTCCCTCCTCCCCTCTCCCTCCCTCCTCCCTCCCCTCTCCCCCTCTCCCTCCCCTCTCCCCTCTCCCCCTCTCCCTCTCCCTCCCCTCCCCTCCCCTCTCCCTCCTCTCCCTCCTCTCTCCCTCCCTCCTCCCCTCCTCCCTCCCTCCCTCCCCTCCCTCCCCCCTCCCTCCCTCCTTCCCCCTCCTCCTCCCTCCTCCCCTCCCTCCCTCCTCCCCTCCCCCTCTCCTCCTCCCTCCCTCCCCTCCCTCCTCCCTCCTCTCCCTCTCCTCCCTCCCTCCCTCCCTCCCCTCCCCTCTCCCTCCCCTCCTCTCCTCCCCCTCCTCCCTCCTCCTCCCTCCCCCTCCCCCTCTCCCTCCTCCTCCTCTCCCTCCCTCCTCCCTTTCCTCCTCCTCCCTCCCCCTCCCCTCCCCTCCTCCTCCCTCCCCCCTCCTCCTCCCCTCTCTCCCCTCCTCCCTCCCTCCTCCCCTCCCCCCTCTCCTCCCTCCCCCCTCTCCCTCCCTCCTCTCACCTCCCCCTCACCTCCCTCCCCCTCCTCCCCCTCCCCCCCTCTCCCTCCCCTCCTCCTCCACTCTTCACCTCTTTCACCTCTCTTTCACCTCCACCTCTTTCACTACCACCACTCTTTACACACTCTTCCACACCACCATCACCACCTCTCCACCACCATCACCACTCTCTCACCACCTCTCCACACCATCACCACCTCCACCACTCACCACCTCTCACCACCATCACACCACCTTCTCCACCACCATCACCACCTCTCCACCACCATCACACCTCTCCACCACCACATCACCACCTCTCCACCACCATCACCACCTCTCCACCACCATCACCACCATCCACCACCATCACCACCTCTCCACCACATCACCACCTCTCCACCACATCACCACCTCTCCACCACCATCACCACCTCCACCACCATCACCACCTCTCACACCATCACCACCTCTCCACCACCTCTCACCACCTCTCCACCACCATCACCACCTCTCCACCACCATCACCACCTCTCCACCACCACCACCACCTCTCCACCACCACCACACCTCTCCACCACCACCACCACCTCTCCACCACCACCCACACCACCACCACCACCACCACCACTACCGCTTCCTCTTCCTCTTTCAACACGTCCACCACCACTACTTCCTCTTCCTCTTTCTCTTTCAACAAGTCCACCACTACTTCTTCCTATTCCTCTTTCAACACGACCATCACTACCACAACTGCCTAATCTTATTTTTTCTTTGCAATTACTTTTTCTTTCTCTTTTTAATTTCCCAATAACATGTTATATGTAACCGCTATGGTATGAACTTAAAAAATTATTGTGTTAATAGGATAGAGAAATTGTGGTCATATTTTATATTCCCTATAGTACTAATAAACTCATACTTCTAGACCTGGAGAGCAAAATAGACAACATTTGTGATGGTATGAACCTAGATGAGGCCCTTGAGAAGTCAAAGGAAGTGAAGGACAATCTTACAGTAAGGAAAAAGTTGTGTGAAGTGTAATTGTATATATTGCTTTATTTATTATTTTTTTTTCAGCAGTCTGTGAGTTCAGTATTACTTCACTTGCCTTGCAGGTTATGGGGTTGGTTATCAGAAATATATTTTGTATTTTAAGAGCAGTTGCAGATTTGGTTTGATGGAGATGTGTGAAGTGTTGATTGTTGATATTGATTACTGGTTCTTGTGAACTGTATATATCATTCCTGTTTCAGTCACTGTTGTGATTATCATTTGTAAGATTGTTTATATATTATTTTATATGTTATTATTTGTAATACAACTTTCATTCTTTTTTTACTCCACTCATTTAAAATTAGTGCAAATATATAATAAGAGTTTGATTAGAATGTAAAGGCTTTTGACTTCCTTTTCTTGTTTTAGGTTTAAAATGTACTCTATATTTACAGCGTGAACGAGGAGATCTCTCCAGTTCCATCACTGTCTTAAATCGTTTCACTGCCAAGCTCCGTCAGAGAGATTGCTGTCCTCTCTGTCACAGAGACTTCCCATCAAAAGATGATGTCAATCAACTTATTGAGGAGGTATGCATGATTATAACTAATTAATTTGTAATCCTTATAGACCTTTTTGCTATAGTTTTGGCAGATAAGAAAAAAGAAAAATGTAATATCTTATTCACTATGATCATGGAAGGCTTGTCAAAAATTGATAGAATTTTTCTTGCCTCTTTATTCGTTATAAATGAGATGTATATATGGTCCACTATTATATCTGGGACTGTTTGGAAAGTTCCCTTCAGCCACACCTATAATATCATCCCCATACTCACACTCCCATTGTAAGCCCTCCTCTGCCTATCAGTCATACTGCTATGTTTGCCTGTTGTTATTTTCTTGTGAATGAACTCTAGTATGTCAATTAGTAAACCAGGAGCTGAATGGCTTATTTTGTTCCTCTTAACTAATCTTTGATTGAATAAACTTGTGATATTGGACATATCAATATGTAATATATAGTTTGAATTATGGTCCTGCCCATTCCCCCTTCACCGACCATATGATTACATATCACCTGATACATAATTGTCTGTTTATTATTTTTATGGTTAGAATATTATAGATGCATGTAAATGCACATTTTATTTTATTTTATTACAATTATTTTTTTAACCCATTAGCGACGGGTCATTTGGAGAGCGATAAGCCTAATTTCCGGGCGGTATCAAAATCGGTGCGCAGGCCAGTCCGGGAACCTGACTGCAAGCCACCCGCCTCGGGCGAGAAAATCAGAGCGCAAGCTCCGGTCTCGTACCACTTTTATAGCCATGGGAGTTTATCAAAGTTTACCTTTCTGAGAATCGAGAACGATGTTTTAGCTTGCCCATGCTGCTAAAATCCAGTCTCAACACTTGTTTCTTTCTTTTTTTAAAGTTTAGAAGCCAATCTCTTATAATGCCATGTATGTTTCTTTCAGTAACATATTTGCAAAGATATGTAAAGGGAAAGTCAAAGATTTTTCATAAAACAACTTTATTATAAAACAACTTTATCCATGCGTCAAAGCATACATACGTATTGAGGGTGACATTATAGAGGGGGAGAGAGAGAGAGAGAGAGAGAGGGGGAGAGAGAGAGGGGAGAGAGAGAGAGAGAGAGAGAGGGGGAGAGAGAGAGAGAGAGAGAGAGAGGGGAGAGAGAGAGAGAGAGAGAGAGAGAGGGAGGGAGGAGAGAGAGAGAGAGAGAGAGGGGAGGGAGAGAGAGAGAGAGAGAGGAGGAGAGAGAGAGAGAGAGAGAGGGAGAGGGAGAGGAGAGGGAGAGGGAGAGGGAGAGGGAGAGGGATGGAGAGGGAGAGGGAGAGGGAGAGGGAGAGGGAGAGGGAGAGGGAGAGGGATAGAGAGAGGGAGAGGGATAGAGAGAGGGAGAGGGATAGAGAGAGGGAGAGGGATAGAGAGAGAGGGATAGAGGGGGATAGAGAGAGGGAGAGGGATAGAGAGAGGGAGAGGGATAGAGAGAGATAGAGAGAGGGATAGAGAGAGGGAGAGGGTAGAGAGAGGGGAGAGGATAGAGAGAGGGAGAGGGGAAGAGAGAGGGAGAGGGAGAGAGAGAGGGAGAGAGAGAGGAGAGGAGAGAGAGAGGAGAGAGGAGAGGGAGAGAGAGAGGGAGAGGAGAGAGAGAGGGAGAGGGAGAGAGAGAGGGAGAGAGGAGAGAGAGAGAGGGGGGAGAGAAGAGAGAGGAGAAGAGAGAGAGGAGAGAGAGGAGAGAGAGAGGGGGAGAGAGAGAGAGAGAGAGGGGGAGAGAGAGAGAGAGAGAGAGGGAGAGAGAGAGAGAGAGAGGGGAGAGAGAGAGAGAGAGGGAGGAGAGAGAGGAGAGAGAGGAGAGAGAGGGAGAGAGAGAGAGAGAGAGAGGGGAGAGAGAGAGAGAGAGAGAGAGAGAGAGGGAGAGAGAGAGGGAGAGAGGGGAAGAGAGAGGGAGATGAGAGGGAGAGAGAGAGGAGGAAGATGAGAGAGAGAGAGAGAGGGAGAGAGAGAGGGAGAGGAGGGAGAGAGAAGAGAAGAGAGGAGAGGGAGAGAGAGAGAGAGGGGGAGAGAGAGAGGAGAGAGAGGGGAGAAGAGAGAGAGAGGAGAGAGGAGAGAGAGAGGGAGGATAGAGAGAGAGAGAGGGGGAGCGAGAGAGAGAGAGGGGGAGGAGAGAGAGAGAGAGAGGGAGGAGAGAGGAGAGAAGGAGGGAGAGAGAGAGTAGAGAGAGGAGGGGCGAGAGAGAGAAGAGAGAGGGGGGGGAGGGAGAGAGAGGAAGAGAGATGAGAGAGAGAAGGGGGGAGCCGAGAGAAGAGAGGAGGCGGGAGAAGAGAGAGAGAGAGGAGAGAGTAGAGAGAGAGAGGGGGGAGAGAGAGAGAGAGAGAGAGGAGGAGAGAGGAGAGAGAGGGGTGGGAGAGAGAGAGAGAGAGAGGGGGACGAGAGAGAGAGAGGGAGGGGGAGAGAGAGAGAGAGAGGGGTGGGAGGAGAAGAGAGAGAGAGAGGGGAGAGAGAGAGCGAGAGAGGGGGAGAGAGAGGAGAGAGAGAGAGAGGCGAGAGAGAGAACGGGATGAGAGGAAGAGAGAAGGGGGAAGAGAGAAGGATTTGAGGGAGAGAGAGAGAGAGAGGAGGGGGAGCCTCAGAGAAGAGGAATGACAGTGTGAAGACAGGGAGAAGAGAGAGGAGAGAGGAGAAGGGGAGAGGAGAGAAGAGATGCGGGAGCAGAGAGAGAGAGAGAGAGAGGGGCGAGAGAGAGAGAGAGAGGGGGAAGAGAGAGAGAGAGAGAGGAGAGGAGGAGAGAGGAGAAAGAAGAAGGGGGAAAGAGAGAGAGAGAGAGAGAGAGAGGGAGAGAGAGAGAGAGAGAGAGGGGAGAGAAGAGAGAGAGAGGGAGAGAGTTGAAGAGAGAGAGAGGGGGAGAGAGGAGAGAGAGAGACGAGGAGAGAGGAGGAGAGAGAGGGGGAGAGAGAGAGAGAGAGAGGGAGAGGGGAGAGAGAGAGAGAAGAGAGAGGGGAGAGAGAAGAGAGAGAGAGAGAGAGGGGGAGAGGAGAGGAGAGGAGAGAGACAGAGAGGACGGGAGAGAGAGAGAGAGGAGAGGGGGGGAGAGAGGGAGAAGAGAAGAGAGGGGGAGAGAGAGAGAGAGGAGAGAGAGAGGGGGAAGAGAGAGAGAGAGAGGGAAAAGAGAGGAGAGAGAAGAGGGTACCGAGAGCCCAGAGAGAGGAGAGGAGAGGGGAGAGCAGGAGAGAAGAGAGAAGAGAGGGGGGAGGAGAGAGCAGAGAGAGAGAGGAGAGAGGGAGGAGGGGAGGAGAGAGAGCAGAGGGTGGAGGGGAAAGAGAAGAGAGAGAGGGGGAAGAGGAGAGAAGAGAGAGAAGAGAGGGGAGAGGAGAGAGAGAGAGAAGAGAGAGAGAAGAGGAGGGAGAGAGAGAGGGGAGAGAGGGAGAGAGAAGAAGAGGGGGAAGAGAGAAGGGAGGAGAGAGAGAGAGAGAGAAGAGGGAGAGAGAGAGGAGGAGAAGAGAGTTGGGGGAGAGGAGAGAGAGAGGAGGAGCGGGGAGGAGAGAAGAGAAGAGAGAGAGAGAGAGGGAGAGAGGGGGGAGAAGAGAGAGAGAGAGAGAGGGGGAGGAGAGAGAGAGAGAGAGAGAGGGGGAAGAGGAGAGAGAAGAGAAGAGGAGGGGGGGAGAGAGAGAGAGAGAGGGAGGGGAGAGAAGAGAGAAGAGAGGAAAGAGAGGG